CCACTGCTGCTGCGGCGGTGGAGGTGTTTGCTGCTGCTGAGGCGGAGTCGTCGCCGCCGAGGCCGAATCTGAACCGTTCGTCGTCTGCATCTCGAAATCCGATCTGATCCGATCTGAAACCACTCCCCAGGTCAGATTCAAACTCCGAAATCTATATATACGTGGGCGTGTGTATATAGACAACTGATATATCTCTCTCCCCCTATCTTCGCGTGTTTTGAATCTCTCTCTGAGGTTAACGAAGCGCGTGCAGAGAGGAGGTTGACGAGCACTGGCTATGGCGGAGAGAGTGAGAGAGAGATTTGGTCTTAAAGGGGGGCGGAGAGACAGCGTGAGAGAGAGAGAAATATCTCAAGCTATTGAGGATTTTGGGGTTTAGGCGTTGGGGAAAAACGTGGGGCCCAGTTTCACTTCTAAGTCACTGTTTGAGATCAACGGTTCTGATTTACTGTTTCAAATCGACGGTCGATTCGCCGGCAGAACTCTTCGTTATTATTTTGTTTTTCTTTTTTTTTGTTTGTTTTCCCTTTTCTCATTAGGGTTGACAAATTTGCGGGCTTTTCCGACTTCGTTTCAGGGAAAACGCGTTTAGCGGTTAGGATATATAACTAGTGTGGACATTTGGATATAGTTTTTCACAATCGAATTTTATCAAACCCGATATTTTTTTAAAATCAAACCGAATCTGAGTTCTAAAAAAACTCGAAAAATTAAATTTTTTTAATAATATTTAATATTTAATTTTTTTTAATAAAAAACTGGAACCAAATCGAACTATTCCCAAAACGAATACCGAAATACCCCTAATATATACATAGGAGGTGATATGCAAGTCGACGAATTTGACATTTGTGTTTAGAGTTTGCAGTTTCTATTTTCGTCTAGTGATAAGTTATAATCAATGTTAAGAATCTAGTCGATATTCAATATTTTGCATCACGTTAATTTTTGTATCATAGACCAGATAACTAAAATTTTTGAAATAATAGATCGGATATTTAATATAGTTAGTTACCTTCAAATATTTTAGTCAGCATTATTTCAAAAACACCTTCCAAACCCCTTTGACTTACCTTTTTGTTTTTAAGTTTTAACCCTATTTTTTTCTTTAATCTGAACTTACTAAACCAGATCAAATTATCCATTCTTAAAATAGATTTAATTATCTCTTATTTAAAACATATGAACGTGAGATATAATAGAATATTTTACCAATTAATTTATCAATATTTTCTATTTTTATTTCTTTTTTATCTATTTATTTCTTTTCTCTATTGTTTTCTTTTTCTTCCTCAGTTTTCTTCTCCATTTTTTTTATGAGAAATGATTTTCATTCAAAGTATTGCATAACCCTCAATCTCTTGGATATTTTAGAATAAATATTTGATTAGTGTTTAATCTCTTATAAGATTTATATATATGTGTATTACGAATATGATAGAAGAATTAAATATTTATAAATGATATGTAATGAATTGATTTAAAATGTTGTGACTTGTCAGAAATAGAATATTCGGATTGGAACAAAAAAACAAAGTCTGTGTTGGCGATCAGTCGATCGTGTATTAAAAAAAATACTTAGAGAGCACGATCGCTTATCATAAGGGATGATAAATCGATCGTGGTCTTGGATGAATTTGCTCAGAGAACACGATCGATCTATCATTTAAGACGATAGGTCGATCGCGACTTCGGACAAATTTTCTCAGACGACGCGATCCATCAATCGTCCTTTGACAATAGATCGATCGTGGTTTCAGAAATGAAGAACTTTTCAAGGCGATCGGTCTATCGTCAGGGATGATCGGTCGATCGTGTGAGATGATCGCTCTATCATCAAAAAATTTGCACAATCCTTTGAGTGAAAAATTGCGACAATCGGCGAAAACTTTTGAATTTTCATATATTTTCGATATTTTAGTGTTTATTGCCATATTAGATGTCATATAATACACAAAAAAAGACAACAGATTCTAACAAGATCTAAAAACGACGGAAATAACAAACCTATAAAAGATTGTTGGTTTAGTGCTCTATGATGAACTGTTGTATGAGCTTTCTTATGATACATTTGATGTATTGACACTTTCTATGAGCTTATGGTTGAGTGTTTGATTCATTACGTATTATGCATACTTGATATGTTATGAAATCCATGTATTGTTATGAACAATACTAAACTCCTTAGTCATGTATCATTGTGGGAATAATGATATACCAAGACTAGTATGATGTGCAATTGATGATCATATAGATGATCATAGGTAGATGATCATAGGTATTTGGATACGATCACAATCATAGGTATTCGTTGCAGAACGGAATACTGGACTGACCCGCATGAGATTGTCACATGGACTAGCGTCATGACTTGAATCTCATGTGACGATTCCATGATTGGATCCTAAGACCTGAGATATCTATGGAATCCAACATGAGGAATTATGTGCTTTGAATACGTCAAACATCCTGCGTAACAGGAGGACTATAAAGGCGTGTATCAGATACGAAACCGAATCATGTGCGGGATTGTAGATAGTCAAGACGGGATTTGTACCTCTCGTAAAAGAGAGAGATATCGCTAGGCCCCTCGTGTGAGCGAGGCTGTAGAAATGTGTGGCCGCACTATAGACGAACGTCGTCTATTTCAGACAGTCGAACTCAGTGAACGAGAAAGCAGTCGAATCAGATAAGGTGGCTTGTCCATCCTTATATTCCACATATGATATCGTGATACAAAAGGATCATCAAACGGAATCATCACCGACGTTCGTAGGATCACGAACAAACTCTATTCGAGATAGGTAGTCATAGTGTCTTGCTAGAGACCGCCTATGACTTGTGTAACCGAAATAAAAGATTTCGGGTTATACTGCTATATCGGATGAGCCTACAGGGTCACACACACAGGAAAGGACGAATGCACGAGAAGAGACGAGAATCCCGGTGCAGCGGAGGCCAGACCGACCGGTCTAGAAGGTCTAGACCGATCGGTCTAGCCAACCCAGATCGATCGGTCCAGACACGTGGACCGGTCGGTCCAGGGGTAACGTGTGACAGTCACTCGGTCCGAAAATTGCTCCAGACCGATCGTTCCAGACGTAAAATAAGTTGCAGACCGATCGGTCCAGACGTCTGGATTTCCTAAACTTGCTCTAATTAGGGTTTTAAGTGGGATTAACTTTGGGGTACGCCTCCTAATCCTCTTGGCACGACTTTTAGATCCTTAGGGAAGTTTTTGAGAGTGAAAAACCTGAGAGTTAGATCCTGAAACCTTTGCGCATAGAAGAACGTGTTCTTCAGTCCTAGCAGACAAGTTCCAACCGTTGGAATCCTTTCCGCCGTGTGGATACGTGTAGAGGGCAAGATATTCTTCCTGCCTATAGTGATCGGACGAACACATCAATTGATACAGGTCCCGGATCGATTGAGGTAAGCGTTCTTACGTTTCTACAAGATCATGCATGATAGGTTTTAGGGTTTTATCAAAATTTTTGTTTTACATCCGCTGCGCAAACCCTAGAACTGATCTCTTAGGAATTAGATTCGCTCATGAGATCCCAGAAAATCCCAACAAAGATAACTCGGTTTGTGACACCCGTATCCGGCTTCTCGTGAACAGGATGCGCCACATGGGCTAAAATGAATAAAATAACATAACACAATTTACGGGAATTTTAAAACTGTTTTACTCAAGTTTACGTAGTGGAAATTAAAACATTGCAACCGTTTGTTTAAAAAAAACAATACACGTCCGAATTAAAAATAGCATAACCATGCAAACGTGGAAACCGTGTTCCATAGTTCAAAACATACAATAGGGAAATATCCGTACGCAATGCTGCCTCTTCGATGTCGTCGCCCAACTTTGCTACACATGCTCCTCGTGATCTGAAAAAGATAAAACCACGAGGGCTAAGCACAACTGCATAGTGAGTAGTCCGGATTGATCCCGATCATCTCGTTCCCAGCGAGAACGGTGATACGACAATGATCCAAGCCATATTAATTTCATGCAATTCCCGCACATTAATCCATTATAATTCATTTGTTCCAATTAAATCCTACTGACTACTGTCATAGGATTGTTCCACGCATTATCGATACACGATAGTACTGACTCAATTCGTCAACTGGCACTATCAGGTACCATTTCCATCGATGTCATCCAGTACTGACTCAATTTGTCTACCGACACTGGATTCCACCATGCTTCTCTATAATAGTACTGATTTCACGTCATCAACCGGTACTATTATAGAGACGACCACACAGATCCACCAGCACTGACTCCACGTCGTCAACTGGTGATGGCTTCACTACACATTCCTATAATAGTATTGACTCCACTTCGTTAACCGGTACTGTTATAGAAACGTCCACACACATACACCAGCATTGACTCCACTTCGTCAACTGGTACTGGTGTTACATTTCGGTAGTAGTACTGACTCAATTCGTCAACCGGTACCATTACCGAAACTCAATTCATCAACCGGTATTGGGTCCATTATCCACCCGTCCCCATAATAGTACTAACTCCACCCCGTCAACCGGTACTATTACGAAAACATGCTTCTATAATAGTATTGACTCCACGCCGTCAATAGGTACTATTACAGAAACACCACACACATGCAAAGTGTTGACTCCAAGTTCTTCAACCGATACTGGACACGTGTTCCTCCCCATCACACTAGTACTAACTCCACGCTGTCAATCGGTACTAGATAGAGGCTCATCGGGGTCCATCACCCAATCGCAAGCATATCCTCAGTCATTTATATCGCACTTCCACATTATCATTCTCCGAATTCCCTCTGAATTTACTTCTCACCCTCACTTCGGTTTGAAATTCCTTTTCCCTTTATATGTTTATTTCCACATTATCCACATTCGTTTAATCCATTTATTTTACCGTTTACTTCAATTATATCTTATCCCATCGTTCTAGTTAAATAGTCTAGTTCTGATCATTTTTAGTCCGGTTTAGGCTAGACCGGGTCTGGGTCTCGGATCCCGTGTCTCTTTCTTAATTTGTCCAAAAATGTCATTTTTGTTGATTTGGTCCGGTCCAGACCGAATCCGGTCCGCCCCGCGAAATTGGTTGATCAGACCATTTTTGGTCCTAAACAGGTCTAGTCTGTCGGACCAAGTTTTGGTCTGCAGGGACCAGGCTTCCTCAGCTTCTTCTCCTTGGTCTGGCGGACTAAAAATTTCCCAGACTTAGTCCGGAGCTGACCAGTTTCTGGTCCGGCGGATCGAAACTGGACAATTCGTCCGTTCGCATGAGATTGTCACATGCATAGAGTCATGACTTGAATCTCATATAACGGTTCGTTCTTGGATCCTCATACCTGAGATGTCTATAGTATCTGATATGAGGAATGACGTGTCTAGACTACGTCAAACGTCATCTTTAACCGGATGATTATAACGGCGTTGATCAAATACATTCATGAATCATATGGGGATAGTAGACATGCAATACGGGACTTGTCACCTTCTTAATAGGAGAGATATCGTTGGGCCCTCTCGTGGAAGTCGGACTATGAAAAATGCATGGTCACGCTATAGATGGAGTTACATCTATTTTATTAGTCGATTTTTCAAGACGAGAAAGTTGTTGGACTTGAAGGGTGGTTCAAACCATGCCCTTGTTCAACATATGATATCGTGAGACAAAAGATCAGAACTCGAGCCGTTAATGCCTTGGTTAGATCACCTCTAACTCAATTCTAAGTGGGTGGTCATGGCGTCTTGCTAGAGGTTAACCATGATTTGGGGTTCGGGAAAGGTTCTGAAGTCACTACCCCTTAGAATGGGCCTATAGGGTCACACACCATTAGGGATATACTTATACATGAAGAATCCGGAGAATGGAAATGAGATTTGACCGAAATGAGCATGAAAATGATTTTTCAATGTGTTGCTCCGGAGCTGACCAAGTTTGGTCAGCCCCGGACCAAGTTTGGTCAGTCTAGGAGGTCCGTAGTCAGCCCATGGTCGTCTGTGCAGGTCTGGTTCGGTTGACCAAAAGTTAGTCAGCTCCGGACCAGATGCTGGGTCAAGCGGACTAAGGACAGAAGTGCGTCGGACTGACCTGACGAAGAAGAGACTTGGTCTGGAGCTGACCACATGTGGTCCGCCGGAACAAGCCTCTAGGTCAGGCGGTCTGAGAGCTTCGGACTGAGCTTTGGTCAGTCCAGGAGGTCCGTAGTCAGCCCATGGTCGTCTGTGCAGGTCTGGTTCGGTTGACCAAAAGTTAGTCAGCTCCGGACCAAACGCTGGGTCAAGCGGACTAAGGACAAAAGTGCGTCGGACTGACCTGACGAAGAAGAGACTTGGTCTGGAGCTGACCACATGTGGTCCGCCAGACCAAGCTCTTGGTCCGGCGGACCAGGATCTGGATTTTTCCAAAAATTTGGATTTAGGGTTTTCTAAGCTTATTTAAGTTTGGGATTTCGTCCAAACTTAATTAAGGTCGCCCTAAAACTCAAAGAGACACCTAAGAACCCTAGAGAATTCATTCTTTTCGTTTTTGAGCTTCTCGGGTTTAGATCCGGTCTCTAGAGTTACCATTTTCTTCACTAATCCTAACAGATACGTTCCAAATCGTTTGGAATCCTTTCTGTCGGTGTGGATACGTGTAGAGGGATAGTGACTTCAGTCCTAGGTGATTTAGAATAGACCTCGGATCGATATTTGCTTCAAGTTTCATCGAGAACGAGATAAATAACGATTTTCTCGGTGATATACATGATCTTTCGGGTTTTGCAAGTTTGGTTGCTTGTGACGTTTAACTAGGTTTAGATTTTTCTTCCGCTACATGAAATCTAGTAACCAAACCCAAGATCGATGAGATCGCATGATAGGAACCCATAGTGAACCTCTACAGTTTCTGGGTTCCTCCGCCTTGAGATCTCCTCCTAGACACTCTAAGGATGTTCTCCAATCTTTTCCCAAGCTTCCTCTTCCTCCTCCTCTCTTCTTTCTCTCCCTCTCTCTTTTTCCTCTCTTTTCTTTCTTTGCCAATTTTCAGTCCGAAAACGGCTGAGTTGATCTGTTAGAGGGGGTCTCTAGGGTAGATGAGAGAGTTTTGGCGTGATTGGACGAGTGTAAGGGGTAGCTGGGGTCTCCTTTTGTCGGTTTGGTGCAGACCAGGTATGTTGTTCCCGCCCATGTGTGAGAAAATTGTTGATTTAGTGCTCTATGATGTACTGTTATGCGAACTTTATTTAGATACATTTGATGTATTGACACTTTCTATGAGTTTATGGATGAGTGTTTGATTCATTACGTATTGTGCATACTTGATATGTTATGAAATCCATGTATTGTTATGAACAATACTAAACTCCCTAGTCATGTATCATTGTGGGAATAATGATATACTAAGACTAGTATGATGTGTGATTGATGAACATATAGATGATCATAGTATTGGATACGATCACGATCATAGGTATTCGTTGGAGAACGAAATAGTGGATTGACCCGCATGAGATTGTCACATGGACTAACGTCATGACTTGAATCTCATATG